AACAGTACAAAGACTAACTTTTTGGGATCAAACACACGTCTGCCACTCAGGGAGGGTGCCTCAAAGAAGATTGTTTAGGGGCAAATGATGGTCAGATGATATAATACATCAAATATGTTAATGATATTACAAACTACTTCCCAGACGTCACTTTTCAAGTCCTTTCTTGTCAGAGTAAGGAATAAAGATGGTATTCTGCTTCTGCTCTATCTTTTTTTTAAAAAGGAAAATCATATCGCTATTTCCTAACGTCTTTCCAAACTGGACTTCCGTGGGATATATTCTGAAAACTCTTTACCAATGAACATAACTCTGAAATCTGTCAACTCAGAATTATCCCCACACTTGGGTTACCCAAAGTCAGTTCATTCTCTTTGCTGCTTTAATGAGCAGCTGAGTGAAAACACCAGGCAGGTAGCTCAGAATCATCTAGTCCACAGGGTGCCTCTCCCCACTGACCTCCCTCCACTGCACTCCAGGCCCTACCCCAACTGTTATTTGCATTCATGCCTCTCAATTCAATGCATATGAACTAGCATTTGGGCTCCTAGCTTCTTCTATACCATGAAGATAGAAACTGGCCTTTCACTGACCCAGTGTGGACTTTACATTCAATAGCAGGGGTTGAAAGCCATTTGGTAGATAGCAGGAGTCCTGTCTGGATAGCCTGGGGTTCCAACCTTTCATTTTGCAGGTTGGGTGCTCTGTGGCTCAATAGAATGACAAGAAGTCCAAACCTGCCATGCGGCCTGGACCTTCACAATTCTACCAGGCTCATCTTGGACAAGAAGGGGCTTGCCCTGAAGCCCTCACTGGGAGCTCTCCTCTGCACTGTTTTGCACTGTGTGCTCTGTTGGCAACAGGCAAGTTTCACTACCTCCAGTGGCAGTTTATGGGGTAAAGTTTACTGGGCACCCATAGAATGCAGACATGAGACCAGTCCCCAGAGCCTAGAGCAGGCTGTCTGTGTATATTCAAGGACTTTCGAGTTTTGTTGCAAATTATTATGCCTGCTCATAACTAGCTGGCATTTTGGGGGAGACAGGCTAGAAAAGAAACCCTCTTGAAACCCTTATTCGGCGCCTAGACAGTCATTGCTTCTCTTTCAGGATTTGTTTGAACCCAGACCTGTCTCCCACAGCCAATTTACACCTCTTATCTGATCATTTTAGACGGAAGGTTGAATTGACCCAGTCTGCCCGTGTCCATGGCAGTGGTGTAAAAACCCAGACACATCAAAGCTCTCCAGGCGGAGGCGGGGTGTGTGCGGTAGATTACAGGGTGCGGGTTCTTTTGGCCCCAAGCGGTGTGGACATTGGGGCTGGGAGTTGCCACCCTCTGAAGAAACCCATTGTCAGGGCCTGAACGATTTCCTGAGCGTAACCTAGTCCCCCGCGGACCTCGATTAACTCTAGCAAAGGGGAGTTTCCAGGCCGGGCGCTGACGGGGAATGGCTAGCGCCAGGGGGCTCTGCTCTCGCTCTGAAACCGAAAGGAAGGGAGGGAGTGGAGGAGGGAGGCGAGCCGGGAGCCCTCGCCAGTAAGCCAGGGCGCACTCCCTCCCCTTGCAGAGTCAGCCGGGGCTGCAGAAGCGCGACTCGGTCAGCCGGACTCCCCAAGCTTGGCCTGTAAGGCTGATGCCCACCCCTACACCCCCTTATTCCCTGGGGTCGCCAGGTTCTTCCCACCGCCACCCCTCGCCGGCCCTAGGGCGTCAGCTCTGCGGGAGCGCGCTCCCCGCCCCCAGCAGCAGCCGGGCGCCGCGGAGCTGGCGCGGAAAACTGCGGTGCAGTCGGCCCCAGGCCAGGGGGGCAGCCATTTAATCACCGCTCGCCTCGCCTCCGTTAACTTGTGTTGATATTAAAGAGAAATCAATCAGTGAAAATGAAGCATTGGCCGTGAATATTTCTCTCTCTCTCGTGGAAAAGCAAAGCGCGCGGCGGCGGCGCGGGGGAGGGGGCTCGGCGCTGCGGAGGTTTCTCGGGAGCAGGGAACTGCCGCCCACTGAACTTTCCCGCGGAGGGCAGCGCCTCGGAAAAGCCGCAAGCTTCTCCCCGGCGCGGTCCTCGGTCAGGAGGCGGGGAGGAGGCTGCAGGAGTTGGAGGCGGCCAACTTTGCCCGGGCTCGAGCCACGGTTTTGCTTTCACGGGGAATACTTTTGCCTAATAGAATGTTTATGGATCGCTCGCCTCTGTTTCTGCGGCGAGGCCCAAACAGATCGATGCGTCGCTAGAGACGGCGCTGGGGGCTCGGGCGGGCTGGGG